TCATTTCGTCTCAGAAACCTTGCCATTCACATTTGAATCACGTGTGTTAGAGGAGGGGAACACACAAAACACTCAGAATAGTGGCCCTCGAGGACTTGGATTTGGACAACTGTGCGCTAACTAATTAGCGCGAGTGCGGGGGGTGAGAAAGAAACATGGCAGAGACAGAAAAGTGCATGATTTGAGCCTGCCTGCCCTGCAACTTGACCTTGCGATGTTCCGGCTGCCTCTGCCTCCGCTCTTTATGATCTTTGTATTTCTATGCTAATAAAATGGCCGAAGGGGCAAGAAAGTGCATGTAGCTAGCTAGCTGTTTTTTGAAACAACAACATATTTTACCACCGCTTAAATATGGATGCGACTTGTGTATCATAAGTCAGGTAACAATGCTCTTATGGTCAGAGGGTCTCAATGTTCTGTGCATATAAAATACTGTAAAAATATCAGTACAGAGCGTTGAGTAGTAGAACATTTGAGTGTGTTTGCGCGCTCATGTTTACAGTGCCGGGGACGCAGCGCGCACACAGACAAATCATGCTGATTAAATGTTTGCAAAGTGGAACAAGTGATAGCTCACATGTTGAGTGTTAGCTCACGTAATGGCTCCGAAGACGTCAGGAGTGTGAGAACACTCTGGCCTTTCGAAACAAAACCTCCTGTTCCGAAATATCTCAAAGTCACTGTCCAAACACTGCTCGTCAAAAGTTAGCCGGCCGCAAGCTATGCCGCTTGCACTCATGCATTTCTCCTTATTTGTGGGATTCCGTCTGATGCTACAAGCCTATAAAATACTGTATGCGCATACATTTGCAATTCTGTTTTTCACATGTCAAACCACTTCACTTATCTGTAAATAACCTTGAATATTTACCATAGCCCACAGCAAGGGGGAGGCGGGGGGGAGTCGGCATACATTTTATTAATCAAAAAAAGCAATTTTTTTCTCTTTCCCAGCAGCAGGTCTTCCTCACAGCAAAAATTATGGGAATAAAAAAAAAAATAAACAAACACCAGTACCCCGTCATGCCGTTGAAAGGAAGACATATTAACTTCCTGCCGCGTTTGAATCATTCCGAGTCATTTTCGAGAAGGACAACATGTGCAAAAGTCTAATTAGTTTCAAGATGTTCAATTCATGCACAGTATTCATTGTCAAACAAACAACCGCAGTGATCGATTTAAGCATACATTCCACCACATGAAGTGGGAAAATAACAAGTTACCGCAAATGGGGTGAGTCATCGCAGACACTTCTGATGCAAAGGTAGTTGATATATGTTTTGGAATGTATTGTTAATAATAATCATCATCATCATCATCATCCACTTCTTGTGGCAAAGAGCAAAGCCTTGGAAAAAAAAAAAGATTCTGCTGTATAATTAGCCCTCTCAGCCTGTGATAAGTGAACCCTGTCATTCATCAAGACCTCTTTTATTTTAACACTCTTGTAAGTATACGCCTTGGACGCCGTTCACTTTGGCCATCAGTCACTTGACGCGGAATCCGTACCAACTAATAGAAAGCCATTAGGCGTGACTGGGGCTAATTTGGTAAGAAATCCTCTCTGCTGGTTTCAACTTGAGCCGTTTGTCAAAATGGGAAGAGTTGTGCTTCGGTCGGCGTCAATAATAAGAAGACATGATTATAGAGACGACTTGAACAAATACAGACTGCCTTGTTGATGATTAAATCCCTCGTGAATGGCGTGCGTTGAGAAAGCCTCGCAGGCAAAGCTCAATGATCAGTCAGGAGCGGATCTCGGAGTTCACCCGAGGCCACTGGAGACTCCTTTCCTTTGCTACGCTTGCCCTTCTTTACCTCCCCCCGCCCTTCACATGTACTCATTCTTGAAAATTGTTCATTTTGATGCAGAGCTGCTTTGTTCGCTGCATATCGACGGGAACGCTTGAATCGCCTTGGGTGAGTTTCAACAGTTCAGTGCCGAGGTCACCGTACACGGTGTCGGTGTCTTGAACGCTTCGGGCAGTGGGGAAGACAAGAGGAGTGAACGCTCGCCGTTGCCAAAAGTGCGTATTCACCATGCGGTGGGTCACGTCCAGGGTTCAATTTATGCAGCTCCAATGGAAGCTTAAAAATGATCCGTCTGAATCATTGTAATTAAAACGGTATTGTTTTGTTGTATGAAAAAACTGAGAGGGCAAGTGTTCTTCAAGCCCCCGTAAAATGAACATGACGGCTACACGAAAGAAAAGAAAACAACCATGCCAAATCTGAACGGTTTACATTGGCTTCAAAAATCAAGATAAATCTGGTCATTGTAGAATTACTGACTGCTTTACTAATCCACAAGTAAAAAAAAAAAGAAGTGCAGACCACCATTCATTTGTATTCTTTTTGCTTGACTCCCCCCGTTGAGTGCGTGAGTTGTCGCATGTCGAAATGTCACACGGAAATGATTTCAGCAAACAAAAATGAAATTGGCAGGCCTGCGCACGTTCTATTTGCATTCACGTCGAAATAGATCAAGAGCAATCTTTGTTCTTTGCTCGTATGATTGTCAGTCTGCTGTCCAGAGGCGCCTGAAACGCACGGCCATGTCTCGGAAAGCAACAAAGAAAGAAAACCCAGAAAGCTACGAGTCCCCGTTTGAACCTTTGCACACCGAATGTTTGTTAAATTCCAAAATGTGAAACTGTTTGACAAGAAACCTCACTCATCAATCATTCCTGTGCCATAATTTCCTTTATTCTTCATTGTAGCACTCCAGTTTGAAACGATTCGGAAACCTTTGCATGAATGCCACTGCAGGAACATCATCAGCAAGAAGCCATTTGCAGCGTTAATTGTCCGGGTCGACGGCGTTCAGCTTCGGCATGTCCATTTGTGTCGCCTTGTCATGTCGCCGTATGTAATACCAAACAAGCCCCGAAATGAAAAGGAGCAGACCTAATTCCATACCTAACTCACCCAGGCACATCCCTTTCATTCGCATCCTATTTGATGAGCTCTTTTTTCTTTTTGCGCCAACAACTGTTATCCCGAGCCAAGTCGGAACACGGACGTATCCACAACAAACGCACTCATTAACACAATTGGAAAGCGCCGCTTAGGGAGCGGGTTTGATTCTCGTATTCATCATTTATGTCAAACGGAGAGAAAGTCCAAACGAGGGTTGGTCATATTGCGACACCTCATATTTGGATTAGGATACAGAGGGCGACGGTTCCATTAGTTACAGAATATCCAAGCATTATTTTCTCTTAAATGTCTTAAATGTTCCCTGCTTTCCAATGAAGTTCCATCTGTATATCAGTGATGGAACCCAAATCTCTCAGTACCTTGTGACTATGAATTGTGGTTGCTCGATTTTTTTTAATGACCTCAGTCCTGAGAAATTGTGATGTGATGTTCAGTTGACAGCAAGTGGCAAAATGGCCACCCCCTGACATGGATAAAAAATGGCTGGATTTTTGACTAGTGGGTGTGCATAAGAACCGATTTTTGTCATGGAAATTTGGGGGTTGACTTTTTCTTTAAGGCCTGCTCAACACGTTTTTACGGCATTTTTTAATCAGAGATACATGTAGTTTTTTTTTTTTCATTTCCATTCCATTTATTTATTTATGTTCCATTGACTCCAAATCTGACCCCGTTTTTTTTTTCTCCAACATACCAAGTTTTCATCATAATAAACAGAATGAAAGTAATACATGTCATATAGTAATATAATTATTAATCTTTATGAACATGTTTTTTTTTGTTTTTGTTTTTTTATCGGAAGCGTTATAGCTATAAATGACAACATGTGGTAAAATGCGTATTTCACAAGTTTTTTTAGGTCAAACTTAAAACCAAACAAACAAAAAAATCTGCCAAACCTGATGTGCTAAAAGAAGGAAAGACATTTTTGAATCTCGGATTCAAAATTTGCTGTTGACTCGTGTTGTCGTCAAAGCCAAAGCTGTTTCTGGCTTCCATTTTTGCAAATCGGCACAATTGAAATTGATGATAGAAGGCGTGTGAATTAAAAAAAAAAAGCGGAAGATGGTTGGGCCTTTTTTTTTTTTTGTGCATTTTTTTATAGGCTCTCTTTAAAGTGCTTGTTCAGCAAAGCAGGAGCGCAGACCTTATCAGGACATTGCTTAGATCACATGCCAGAGATTTCTCAAGTTCAGCACTTTTATGATTGCTTGCACTCATATTCACGTTGATACGCGTACTCGACATAGCCTCCGAACCATAAACACACCCAGAAGAATGCACACACTTTTCATGCCATTCGTAATCACTTCCAATCATTCTCAGCCTCGCTCTGCCTTCAGTTGCCTCCATTGATTTGATGCCGGTGCCGTTAAATGCCCAAAGCATGAAAGTTTCATATCATTGTGTGAATCTTGAATTCATTTTTAGACAACAGTGTGGGAGTAAAATAAACAATCACTCTACATATAAAACTGAAGCGACGGCAAGGTCAAACTCTTGATTGCGAGATCACTGTGAATGCCCTTTTTTTTTTTAGTTATGAGTGACAAAACGCTTCATCAGGAGGTCGTTTTAAGATGGAAACAAAGTCACCAACACGCCCCCTTACAAAAATGGTGCAAAAAAAAATGAACAACAATGATTTTTGTCTCACCGCTCACTCATTGACTCGCATCAAGCGATTCCTCTGTGGTAACAATGATGAATTCTGCCCTCTAGTGGCTGAACATTTAATTGTTCTGTCTGTCACTACGTTGTCGTTGGTATAGATTGACGAAGAAACGTGATACGTTATTTGATGTCAATACAGTAGGTAATCATTTTCAGACCAGTGAAGTGAAATTGAACAAAAAAAAAAAATCATAAAAAAATAAAAGCAGCGTTATTCAGCAGTGGAGTGACAACTACACAGGAAGAAATGATACCAATTTTATTACCATTGTGTTTTGGAAAAAAAAAAAAATTGTATGGTTACAATGAATCCCTCCCCCCATTAACATCCTCTTTTACATGTAGACACGGATGATGATGGAACTCTCCTTTATTTCCTCCCACAGTTATACGGGCAGAGTGGTAGGAAATGGTCTGCATGCACAAAGACAGAATCCAGAGGTCAAAGTTCGGAGCGCTAACCCCTCGCTCGCTGACGTGAAGGAGAGGCTTGAAACCTTCAACCAGGTAAGATGATGACTTCATGCTTGTCGACAATCATTTGCATATCACATGTTCCGCTCTTTAAAGAGCTCGACTGTCCTGGCGTGGGTCAAATGCTCAAATCAAACATCCCGTGGTGTAATTCAAACTTTGAAACGGTTTCCA